CCCGGAACTGCTTCCGTTTACAACAGTGAGCGCAAGCTAGATTAAATTGATTATTACGTTTTGAATATGGATATTTTTCTTACAAAAACGCATCGATTCGCTACAGGAGGCCTTTGTTCACCCCCCGGAGCTGTGTGAGACACTTTTTTTTTTAATTGATGGGCGCTTTTTATTTAACTTCTTTTGGACTGAAGCACTGCAACACCCGCTGACTGCAATGATAGAGCTTGGAATAGCCAGGACAATTTTTTATATAAGTCCGACTGGATTCGTCTGAAAGAAGAAAGTCATATACACCTAGGATGCCTCGGGGGTGAGTGAAACACAGCCTAATTTTCATTTTTGGGTGAACTAACCCTTTAAGTAAAGCTTGCAACATGTCTGTGAGAAACTTACAGCTTATATATTATCCTCTCAAGCAGTTGCAGACGCAGTGTTTTGACTGAACCACTTCTGCTGTACGAGATGAGAACACATTATTATCTGGGTCATGAAAGAGTCTGCGTTTGTGATCGGTTTCCTTCTTTCTTTACTGCAAAACGTTGCTCTGTCTAGATGCGCTTAAATCTGCACTACCGATGCTTTCCTGTCACGTATCACACATGCACACTTAAATAAGCCGACAGTGTTAACTCAGCGGTAGAGTTACTCTCACGGGACACTGCACTTATTCACACTCACAGAAGTACATTATTTGCATGCACTTTAAAGCCTTGCCAGTTAAATCTTTCATTCACGTGCTGTTCTGGCGTGCACTTTTTCTGAGCGCATACACTCGAAGCTCGCTCACTAAAAATCCTGTCAAACAGCGCCTGATTACTGAACTAAGTTATCTTTTGCGCTATTACTGTCAAAACACATAAGGTTTACATATGAACACAGTTGGTTTTGTCTAAACTGAAAGTAAACAGTTGAGAGAAAAACTGATGCATGCCTGTATATTAGATGCGTGCAGGTCTTAAAGGGACAGTACTAAACATGCTGCCGACTGTCATTAAAGGGATAGTCCACTTAATTTCTGTCATTATTTAGCCATTCACATGTTGTCCCAAACCTAGTATTAATTTCTTTCTTGTGCTGAACACAAAAGAAGATATTTTGAAGCATGTGAGTAACCAAACAGTTGTTGGTCCACATTGAATTTGATAGTTTGAAAAAATACTGTGGCAGTCGCTGTGGACCCGCAACTGTTTGGTTTTCCACGTTCCTCAAAATAGCATTTATGTTCAGCAGAAGAAATAAACTCATTCAGGTTTAAAACAACCTTTGAGTGAGTAAATTATGGTATAAAAATAAAACACTATGACAGAAATGACAGAATTTTTATTTTTGGCTGAACTATTCCTTTAATGTTAATAAAACAACAAAACACAAAGAAAAAAATCACTCACTACTCTTGCCTGAAAAACTTTTGCTTTAATAGGAATCAGTCTATATAGAATTTTATTTTTATATTAGTTCATTCAATTTCTTGAATGCTCCTGGTAAATACACCTATTGTACCTGAACATAAAGCACTGTTTGGTCAAAGATAAAACATACCTGCAAACTAGTCGCTTTTCGGTGAAATTCGCCGTTTTGAATCAAAATATGTAATTTATGTGAATTATCTAGATCCGAAGAGTTTTTTGGGGGGGGGTTGGGCGGAGATAGAGAGAGAAATTGCAAGCTCGTATCCAACACACCTCATCTCACATCTGGTCTGTTTTGACGGCACACTTATGCTCACATCAGCATGTAAACATGTCGTCGGCGTGGAAGTTCTTCATTGTGAGTTAAACAGACACAAAGTTCGTGCTTTCTAATACAATATTGACTGTTTTTGCTCAAGTTCGCTGACGAAGTGGGAGGGATGCCCCCAGACCCATCTACAAGGGTCATATTCCAAACTATGTCACCTTTTTGACCTCTTGTGAGTTTGTAGGTATGATAAAATAATGATAGTTAAATAAATAATAGTTTTTATTTTCGCCCACTTTGGCCTAATATATCCGCCATTCTTTTTTATATCTCGTTACCTTAAAATGCTTTGTCTTTATAATAGGGAAATTAGTTTGGCTGTAATGCTCAGACAACTTGCAAAATAGTAAAACCAACATGACAAAGAATTGTGATAAAATCGTGAATCATGATATTTCAAAAAAAAAATTGTGATATGATATTTTTGCCATATCGCCCACCCCTAGTACCGCCCCAGTGACAGGTTTTGTACCTTCTTTTCCTGCGAGTTTTACTGTGTAAGACCCTTTAAGCAACTTCATGATGTTGAAGTAAGTAGTAATCGGGTCTTATTGCATCTGGTTCAGTTGAAACCCCATTATGAATGCGGTTTTATAGATTTGGGAATTAGTAACTACAGGGGCAAATACATTTTCACACTGGCCCAGTTGGTATTATATTGGTATTAGAAGTTTTTTGCTTTAATAAATAACATTTATCATTTAAAAACTGTATTTTGTGATTACTCAGCTTGCCTTTTATGTTAGATTTTGTTTTCATTTCTGAGATTAACACAAAAACAGAAGAAATCAGAATGGGGGCACAGCGCTGTTATGATAAATATTTGCTGCTTTTCCTGATTTGCCTCTTATGTTTAAAAATTTAGCAGCACCACAGGTATGTGGAACCAGGTGTTTGTCCAGCCGTCACCCGAGGAGGAAGTTCACGTTGGTGAAGACCAAGACCCACGGGTAAGAGCATTCGGCTTCAGTGTGAATCCTTGAAGCTGCTGAGTCAAAACTTCTGTGCCATTTTGTGTTGCCTCAAACACTGTTGTCTTTTAACAGGAAATATATCTGGATGTACTTTTTTCACCTCTACATTTCACAGCCTCAGCCATCATTAAAGCTTTACAGGTAAAAATCTCAATGTACTTTAATTCACTCTTAAATGGTTAGTTCACCCAAAAATGAAAATTAGCCCATGATTTACTCACCCTCAAGGCATCCTAGGTGTATATGACTTTCTTCTTTCAGACGAATACAATCGGAGTTATATTTAAAAATGTCCTTGCTCTTCTAAGCTTTACATTGGCAGTGGGTGGATGTTTTTGTTCAACAGTCCAAAAGAAGTGCAATAAAGCGCATCCATCCATGATAAACAGTGCTCCACACAGATTGGGGGGGTGAATAAAGGTCTCCTGTAGCGAATCGATATGCTAGTCTTATGAGAACCAACGTTTGTTTCAAGGAGCAAGAGTCTCCTCTTGGCTTATCGAAATCCTCCGACATTTTTCTTTACAAATCCTCGTTTTGTGCTTCTAATTCGTGACCGCTGTTTTGTTTTGCTCCTTCCTCTGCGCTTCCACGTTTGTCACTAATCACCGGCGCGTGTGCTACACCTGTGTCAATGTCATCCGCCGGAAAAATAAAGCGTATATGTATATGTGTGTGTGTGTGTGTATACAGGTGCATCTAAAAAAATGTGAATATCGTGGAAAGTTTTTTTTTCTTTGTAACTTATTTCAAAAAGTTAAACTTTCATATATTCTAGATTCATTACATGTAAAGTAAAAAATTTCAAAAGTTCTTTTTGTTTTAATTTTGATGATTAGAGCTTACAGCTCTATATACGTGTATACATATATATATATATATGTATGTGTGTGTATGTATATATATATGTATATGTTTAAAGCAGTCAATGCAATTTTGGAAAGAAATCAATCAAATCTTTGTATGTGTGAAATATTCAGATGTAGCCCCTCTTTGTAATCGTTAACATTTTTATAAGTAACTAATTTAATTACACATTTTTTCTCTGTAACTGTAACAGATTACAGTTACATTTATTATGTAATTAAATTACATAATTCCGTTACATGTAACTAGTTACTCCCCAACACTGGTATTGCGATAGGGCAGCTGTTCGTAATGCCATTAGTTATTTGTAAAATAAAAAAACAGAGGAACATTTATTATAATTATTTTACCTGTTTTATGATCTTAGGCCTCAAAAGGGTCTTAAATTGGAGCAGGTAAATGCATAGTTCACATTAGATTTATTTAGATGCATTCATTCCTTTTGTCCAGATTTACAAGCGAGGTACAGAGCGATATTCTGACTTGTCGTGGGAGGAGCTGAAGAAAGAGGTTACGGTCACAGTGGAAAATGAGGTAAGGTGGTGCTGTTTTCCCCTTTGTGTTAATTTCTTCATCTGTGTTACCACTAAACGCTGTTTTCAGCTTCAGGGCAGCGTGACCGAGTACGAGTTCTGTCAGGAGGACTACCGTCTGCTGCAGGTGGAGTTCTGGTCCAAGTTTTACGCCTGCTGCCTGCAGTACCAGGATGTGCTGTCCACGCCACTCGCCCTGCACATCAGCCCTGCCACAGCCATGGTCTGCGTCCTCAGGAAGGTACCAGATCCCAGCCGCACAGCTGGAAGACTTCATTTAGATGAAGTCAAATAAGTTTTTCTGTGTATTTGTAAGTAAAATGAAATCAAAATGATCTCCATTTACTTTCTTAGTACACATTCTGTTTCTTGTTTTTGTTAATAATTGCAATATTGTTTAATTATATTTTATGGAGTGTCTGTTTAAATGCAAAAATAGTCCTCTAGCATGCCTCCATTGACATTAAAAAAAAAAAAAAAAAAATCCCCTTATGCGTGGCATAGATGATAAAGCGTGTGACATCGTCATTTTTGACATGATCGAACCAAGTTGGAAACCGCTTTTACCAAACTTTTTTCCCTCTCTTTTCAAATCTCATATCACATCGGAAAGGCATTTATTTTCAATAAATATGAAGGAAATAATCAAAAAGTTGAAAATAAAGTGTTGGGCTAGGGTAGGTGTAGGGAGGGGTTTATTGTCCCAATATGGTGGCATCCATTTAATAATTTGAATTAAAATTATAATTTACACTTAATACGTTATTATTGCATACTGTTTCATAATGTACTACAATACTGAGGTGCAGATAATTGCCACTATTTGCATTAAGTAGTATAAATATCAGGAAATCCTGCTATTTTAATATAATATAATGTAAATGGAATCTATTTGCACTTAGTTTAAATAGCATATGGCAAAAAAATACTGCTATTTTCACAGAATCAGAATCCCTTGCTATTTGCACTTAGTGTAAATAGCATCTATCGCTAAGAAAATTTTACTTTCACTTAGTGTAAATAGCCTTGTATCGCTATTTATACTTAGTATAAATATAGTATATTTATATAGCCTTATAGTTATAACATTTAATTATTTATTTATTTATTTGAAGCAATATTCTGATTTTGAAGATGGATTTCATGAGTATCTGCAGCTAGTGCAGGACACTTGCCTGAGTAGTGCTCACAAAACTTTAGTGCTGCAAAACAACGAGTCCTTCTGTCTGTAACCAGCAGTACATTCAGTAGTTTGTGCACACTGGGAGTCACATTTTCTCAATTAGGTCAAAGTACAGTTACATGTATAGTTTGCAGTAAATATGACTATAATTGGACATAGTGACTAATTGGATATAGCACAGCAAGGTTCTACGATCAAAAATTGTTCTCTCGCATGCCTCCATTGACATAAAAAAATCCCCTTATGCATGAGTGGACATTCACATAACATTTTTGAGTGCTGAGACACGCAGAATAGTGTTGTGACTGTACCAAATTTCAGTAGTCGCTACCAATACCAGTACAATTTTGCGGACTTTGGTACCAAAATTTTTGGTTGCAAAAATTTGAAACTATTTTATTTCTATAGATTTAACTATTTGAAAATAAAAATAGTAAATAAGATTAGTTATTAATGCTATTAATATTTATAAGTTAAAAAAAGTTAAAACATTAGCACGGAGCCTTCACATATTGTTCAATTATGTAAAAAATTGCATTGAAAAGATTAAATGAAAGTGATAAAATAACAAAGAACCTTGTCTATTCTGGACATGAGTGGCGTGACACGACTAAAGACAAGGCAAGGCAAGTTTATTTATATAGCACATTTCATACACAATGGTAATTCAAAGTGCTTTACATAAAAGCAATTAAAATAATCATAAAAAAAATAACTTTTAAAATAAACTAAAATTGATTTAAAATGAATAAACAGTTAAGAATAGAAAAAGATTATGCATAAAATACAGTGCAGTCAGTTCGGATGTAGCACAGTGCTCATTTACTAAATGAACAGCTAAACATATGAGTTTTGAGTCTGGATTTAAATGTGGCTAATAGGGCTGTCAAAAAAATTTTTGAATATTCGTCGAATTTAAAATTAAAATCCACATTCGAATGCAAAAACGTTGCATTCGAATTTTAGGTGTGCATTAAGGAGGCAGCCTTATCAGCGGCGCACGAGATGCGATGACGATGTAAATGTCGTTGCATTATAATGTTTTTGTTAGCCTATCCAGTTGAAGCCACTAGATGCGGCGCTGCTGCGTTGTTCATT